TCGCATCGCATCGCATCGCATCGCATTCGTCGGCCTCCCCGACCTCTTACGCCATCTTGGCGCCAGCCCCGCCCTCCTTCTGGTTCCAGCAAGTATCTTGTCGTGCATCTATCCGGCACTTGGCATCCTGCGGTACCTTCGCGTCATACGAGCCAGACATCGCATTCGACGCTGGCAGGCCCAGGGTCACAGCATCGTACCTTGGTGTCGGAGCCGCCACCAGCCTTGCTCTACGCATCAGTCGACCGTTGATCGATACATTGCACAGGCCCACACTGCGCGCCTAGCACTTGGCATCCTGCTCGTATTACTGTATTTGCGATGTAGATATAGCCAAGAATCGACCTCGGTTGGATGCATGCTTGCTTGAATTTGAATGTCGACAAGTGAGATGAGCCCGCGTTTCTCTCTGCGAGCCTCCATTGACAACGACCGACCTGCGACGGACGCTTCAGCCCCGTTACCCTTCTCTCTGTTTCCGACGGATCCACTTACGTCCAAAGGCGCTACCCAGTGCTCAGTGGCTTCAGACATGACAACCGCCGAGCTTGGGCACGCCCTCTTCGACTCGCTAAACTCACACAGCCATGCAATCGTCTCAAATTTGCGATCCCAGTTGTCCGCCGTAAGGTCCGGCCCACAACACATCGAGTGACTTGAGGGGGAAAAGATCGACCGTGTTAGAGCGCTGTCATCACCTTGGGAAAAGCAAAAATTCGAGGTGGACCGTGAGCTGCTGCCCTCTCGACGCGGCTGGTGGCTGATGAGGAAGAGGAGAGGTCGCGTCTGTGGACGCGTTCAAAGCGTGGAATCGAGCCGGAAAAGTCACGTCGAAGAGCTCAATTTACGCGAAGCGCGACTTCACGCGACCCTTCGAAGAGCGAGGAAGAGCGAGGCGAGGCGAGGCGCAGAAGCCATGCACATACCAGACACCGCTTTGCCTCCCTCCCTCACTTTCCGCATCTTCATCCATCCGTACCCAAGCACCCCAAGCACATCTCGCTTCGCCCCACCACCACCTTCTCTCCCACCAACGAGAACTTGCAACCACATTCTTCGCATCTCTGCGCAGTCACCCTGGACATCTGAATACCCTTCACCTCTCGGGCCTCGTTGCTCCATCACTACGATTCGGACCTTCAACATCGCCTCCAGACCTCCGCCGCCTGCCACATAGGCAGAGCAGTGTACTTGAGCAAGGACAGGCATGACCTCACCCGCCCCAGCGTACGTTGCAGGGGCGGCGTATTCCGGCTCGGACGTTGCTGCCTCCAGCAGCTATGCCGCCTTGCCAGGCCCATCGGCGTCTCATCAGCCCCGCAGGGCAGTGATGCTCAAAGGGCCATCGATCACCTCCAAGACCTACTTCGTGCCACTCCCCGCGACATTGGATCAGCTCGTGGCGAGGGCGGTCGAGCTCTTCCCCATGCCGCCAGGCAAGGTTCCACACATCACGCTCGGTGCCGACGAGCGCGCCATCGTCCTGCAAGAGTCGTACGACTTCATTCGCGATCGCGAGCTTCTCTTCTTCCGCTGGACCGCAGAGACACCCCGACGCAACCTCGCCAACCGGGTGCGATGGGATCAGCCTCAGTCTTCCGCCTCCGCAACGCCGACCTCGGCCTCGGCATCGTCATCATCCAACGTCGGCATCGAAGATGCGCTGCCATCGGCCGTCGTGTCGGCAGCAGAGGCGCTCAAAGCGCAGTTGCAAGGCTCGCCCTCGGCGAAGCGCGACCTCGCAGCAGCAACGCGAGCCAACACCATCGCCAACAGGGATCCAAGTACACAGTTCGGAGAGGGCGCTGCCGCACGAAAGGCGCACGCACAGCGCGTCCTGGCTGAACAGCAACGCAAGCGAGACGAGGAACACACCGCAGACGCACTCGGCGCCGCTCCCGTCATCTCGGAGGAAGTCGAGAGCGACATCATCGTCGACGCCGATCCCGAGGCCGTCGCAAAGGCTGCCTTCGAGCTCGCACCCAACTTGCCTACCGTCAGCCCAACTCAATATCCCTCCGGGGATACGGAAGCAGAGCAGCCGCCAGCACTCGATGCTTCAAAGGAGCGGTCGGTTGCGAGTGAGCCCTCCGAACTTCAGACCAGCACTGAGGCTGTCACCTTGGAGCAAGCTGTTCAGCCGTCCTCATCGGAGGTCGAGCTGGGTCAGCTCGTGCACGCCTCGGCCGCAGACGTCATGTCCATCGAGTCGCCACCTCGCAAGAAGCAGATCGACAATGGCGGTCTCGACACGCCTCCCTCGAGCGGCAGCAGATCCAGCTCTCCCTTCCACAGCTCCGACCGCGCATCCGTCGACCACCGAGCGCGCGTCGGCGCAGACGACGAGCCCTCCAGCTCACCCATCTCTTCGCCTTCGCGCGACGTCTCATCGCGCCACAAGCATCTCATCAACGTCGCGCCTATACCCGAGCTTGTACACTTGCCTGCCGTGGTGCTCAGCCACGAGTCGGAAGCGTCCCACATGGCCCTTACTGATTCTGCGGATTCGACCGATCCTTTCGCCATGCAAGTCGATGCACACGCCGAATCCACCGCCGAGGCGGCTACGGCAGAGGGTGATGCGGCGAGCGCCAGCCCCACGGAACTGGTCGCGACCAAGCCACGAGATGGCCAGAGCGATCGCGAGCTCAACCGCATCTACAGCTTCCTCTCCAACCTCGTCTCGCAGCTGCTTTCGCACAAGGCCAACTGGGCGTTCCAGCGACCCATGAGCGTCGAGTTTGAGCAATTTGCCGCACGCAGCTCGCGACCCGTCGACCTCTTCACGATCCGCGACAGCCTCGCTGCACGCAGGTACGGCAGCCAGCACCTCGAGGGTCGCATGGCCGCCAACGCCGTCGTCACCGAGTTTGAGGACGATCTCTCGCTGCTCTACTCGAACGCGCGTCACTTCTTCGGCATCCGCTCGACGCAGGCAGAGTGCGTGGAGCACCTCGAAAAGTTCAGCCGCTCCTTCCTCAACGAGTACAAGCGCACGCAGGGGAGCGCGCCGCTGCCCAAGGCGTCGTGGGGTGCGTCGTCCGACCTGGCGTCGGCCAGGCTGTCGGCCTTTCGAAGCCCAGGTTCGCGCCCAGAGGAGCATGCCGCTCCGCTGCCGTCGTCGGCCTTCTCGATGCTCCTCACGCCCAGGTCGAATCTCAGCACGCCTGCTTCGAGCTCGGCGGCCAAGAGGACCGTGGGCAACAATGCGCAGTCGGCCAATGCCACCGCGCTTGGGATGATGCGCAGGCCCGACTTTGGCTTTGCCCGCAACGTCTCCTACGACAGCAGCATGGCACCCGCTAAGCGAGCGCAGCCGACCATGACCACCAGCGAGGCTTTTGAAAAGGCCCTGCGTGCCGCATCGGCCACGCCGCAGTCGGACCGCATCAAGCCACGCCAGGACACTGTTGCGCCCTTCCCTACGCGCTCAGTGATCGAGTCGGACTTTATGACTCGGCTCCCGCTGCTTTCGCACGAGCAAGCCGAGCAGCAAACGGCTGCGCAGACAACGCCCAGCGCTAGTGGCAAGCGCCAGCTCTTCTCCACTGCCGAGGCAGAGCCCGAGGCCACCAGGCCACGAACACCGTCCATGTCGCCGCCGCCCTCGCCCTCGCCGACCAAACGCAACAAGCTCATGGTGAGGCAGAAGCAGTCCAAGTCAACCTCGCGCCGTAACAAGAAGAGGTCCAAGAACGCCAAGGCCGCACCTGCTGGGACCTCGGAGCAGGACCCGAGCGACGCCGATGCTCTGGTGGAGGCTGAGGAGGAGAGCAGTGTCGCGGGCTTGCTCGATGCTGAGCCGGCTCGAAAGCGCGGGCGCACGACCAAGGCGGCTCGAGCCATCGACGAGCCTGAGCCGGTGATCAAGGCATCAAAGACCAAGACCACGCATGCTTCATCACCCGCCCCGGAAGTAGTTGTGTCGTCGACGCCTTCGACTCCGGGCCGTATGCTGCGCCCGCGCAAGTCGACACCGTCGACCAACGAGCACGACTCGATTCCGCCGCCCAAGACTCCGCCGCGCTCGTGCAAGAAGACCACCATCCCCAAAGCCATCGTCGCCGCAGTCGAGACGCTCGAAGTCGAGGGCTTCGAGGTCATCGCCTCCACCCGAAGATCGTCGCGCCAGCGAAAACCAGTCAATCTCGACTAAGCATCCCCGCATCCCCGCGACCTCAGGAACCGCACTCACCTAAACCTCCAATACACCTTTGCATCTCAACTGTCAGTCCACTTTGCAATTCATGCTTTCCCATTCGCGTTTTTAGTCGTGTACAGTGCCGAGTCTTGTGTTTTGTGTTTGTGGGATGCGGTTTGATTCGGCCCAGTGCACCTGACCGGGGGCCTCACCTTGCATGCACACCCGCAGATGGCGTGCAACGCCATTTGCCTAATGCCGCACGGCCCTCAGTTTAATGTCATGCGCGTGAGCCCTTCTCAAGGGAGCTCAGTGGACGAGGATGACCATATAGATCCCTCGATGCGTCACCACAGCGCTTTGGCGCCAGGGCAAGCGTATACCAACTCAGCATGCGGCATCCTTGGTTCTGCACTCAATCAGTGCCGTCTGTGATTGTGTTCCTTGAGTCGTTTTGCAATTCATGCTTTTCAGGCAGGGTTCTATTCCTTGTGCTTGTGACCGACAAGTGCGACGAAGCAATGGTGCACTCTAGTGGACGAAGAAGACATCGAGACGTTTGGCGCCCTCGTCCTTTGTGCTGAGTTTGTACTGGAGCTGCTGGTCTGGGGTCAGAGCATCCCAGATGCGGCGTTTGGTTTGGTTGCGTTTGATGTAGTAGAGCTTTACGAGCCAGCAGAGTACGATACCCACAGCGGCGAGAATCACGAGGGCAAGGTTTCCCTTGCGGTAGTACGGTTTGTCGCCGTTCGTGTAGACGCGTGTGGACAAAATCGAGCCGACCTGAACCGACATGTTGTACAGACACAGCGACACAGCACGGTTTCGCACCGACTGCGAGTTCTGTGACACCCACCCAATCAGGAATGGATGGCAGTAGGGAACGGAAGTGAGGGCGGTGATGAGGCCGTAGCGGATCCAGTTGTAGTGCTCGGACGAGCTGTGTTTGAGCAGATACAGCGGGATGAGGAACGAGATGTTCCAAACATTGGAGAGCGATGCCATGATGCCGCGCTCGTTGAAACGCGCCGAAAGCCAGGTGTACCAGATCGTGTTGAAGGCAAAGAAGAACTGCGACGGAATCGCGAGTAGGTTGGCATCGAGCGTACCGTATCCAAGCTGCTTGAGGATGAGCGAGAGGTACGTCTGTGGCGGCGAGTAGGGGATAAACACCACAAGACCGAGGAGATAGACGGGCCAGAGATCCTTTTCGCCGAGCGAGCGGAGGAGACCCTTGACCGAGACACCCTCTCTATTGTTCATGTCGCCCTTGGAGGGGTCGTCTCGGAGCACACGGTTGATGAGAATCTTCTCCTCCGTCTCTGTGAACCAGCCGTTCTTGCCGCGCAGGATGCCCTTGGTCTGGGTGGGGCTGGGGGACAACATGAAGAAAGAGAGGCCGCCGATGACCAGGGTGATGATAGCCTCGAAGAGGAAGAGCCATCTCCAACCAGCCAGTCCATGCAGAGATCTGAGCTGGTTAAAACCGGCCGCGAGAAGAGATCCAAGGATCTGGCTGAGGCCCAAGACAGTATAGAAGTAGCTGAGTCTTGTGTTGAGCTCTTTGCCTGTATACCAATAGCTGAGATACAAAATCTGATCAGGAAGGAAGCCGCCTTGGGCAAGACCCTGCAATGCACGAGTGATGAAGAAGCCAGCCTTGTTGCGAAGAGCGGCTTGGCTTCCCGAGACGATGCTCCAAGAGACGATCTGTGTCGGCACCCAGATGTCCGCGCCGAGCTTCTTTGAAATCAGACCCGAGGGGAGTTCTGCGCTGAGGAAGGAGAGGAGGAAGATGACCTGGCCGTTGTTGAAGTCGTTCTGGTTCATGCCGAGGTCGCCGAGCATGTTGTCGGCAAGGGCGCGGTTGATGTTTTTGCGGATGAGGTCGAGCGACATGAACATGATCCAACTCCACACGAGTACACGCGTGTCGACCTTTCGCAGCAGCCGTTTTTCCTCGGCTACGGTCCATTCGAACGTCGGGTCGAAGCGGTGTCGGTTCTCGTACTGCGTCGAGTCGTAGAGATTGCGCCAGTGCTCGGCCACTTTTTCGTCCTGGAAGACGTGGGTGCGGCAGAGAGGTGCCAGGTCGTCGTCGACGAGCGACTCGGATTGGCTCGGCGTCCACCCACCATCCTTGGTGGCTGACTTGTCATCATCTGCGAAGCTCGACGAGACCGAATCGTGACGTGCCTCGACAAGGGAGGGTGTGGCGGCGACAATGTCGACAGCAGCATTGGGTGCGCTGATGCTCACGGGCGGAGCATCCTTGGGCAGCCTGGGAAGCGCGCTCATCTTGGCGTTGTGGAACGAAATGGCTACAAGGGGCAAAGATCGGAACGGCTCAGACAGGCTGTCTTTTATGTCTTCTCACAGTCTATCCTGGACAGCAAGGAGGATGGAAGAACGGCTATACAAGAGTGTCGTGGTACTAGTGTGTCCATGTGGTCGAGGGCTCGCTTGCCCTGACCTCCCTTTAGTGCGGTTTCAGCCGGTCCGCTGTGAGGCACTTGTGCCGAGCTTGAGCAAGACGACGCCGATAGCAGAGCGGACGAGGCTCGGATAAGCCAAACTCACTTTCGCCATTCTCGGTCGGAGATGCGACCGGCGCCACATTAGGAAGGAGCTGCTCACCAACTCTTTTTCATGGCCGATGCAGCTGCAGCAGGAAGGGGAATGGTGGTTTCTGACAGCTATGTTGCGTGATGATGCAGCGGTGTAGCTAGGCGTGGGGGTGGGCACCGGGGGTGGCGAGCGACGTCGGCCCTGGCGGACGCGTTTGGGGCTCAAGCGGACAGATAGCATTTGGCGCAGGCTCCGACTCAAGCGGGGTCGTTTGTGCCGAGGAAGCAGCGATTGACCGAGCCACCGCCAAGCTCTGGATTGGCAAGACCGAGCAGGAGGGTTGCGATTGCAAAAGGCGGAGGCGATGTGCAGTGTGGTGTTGGAGGGGGCTTGACGTGCATGTCGCCCAATCTGACGTGCAAAGGGCGTAGCCAGCCGAGGCCTCTGTGATTCTGTGATTCTGTGATTCTGTGATGGCTCAAGGCACGCCGAGGATGTCGTGCTTTTTTTCAAAATTCACCGCTCTCCGATCCCGCTCAGTGGGCAAGGTCGCCATTATGATGCCCAGCCGCTTGGCTTTCAGCACACCATTCTGCAACGGCTTTGACTCGACGGTTACGCCACGCCGCTTCGGTTTCCGCTTGCAGAAGCTCCTCAAGATGCCTTGGCGCCTTTCTGCCGGTACCGTCTCGATGAGACGGATTGTCGCGGCTATCCATACTCTGATTCCGTTCCGATGACCGCCGCGGCACTGGCAGCTGGTGACATGATGGCGACAAAGGATTGATATTGTGAGTGCAAAACAGGCTGGATGAAGACGGAAAAGAATGTGCGAGCCGAGGTCCTGTTCCAGCGCCGTGGATCCCGGAGGATAAAGTCGAAGCCGGAACACGAGAAGACCTTCTCGATTGCAACCCTGTGAGGGGGTACGGATCTTGTTCGTCGAGATAGAGGAACAAGGGGTAGGATTGGTGCCCCTTGTTCCCACAATACGAGAACGTAATGAGTTGAGGAGAAGAAGAAAGGAGTCGCCGCCGATTGGCAGCGCTTTGACTTGCGCCTCTCCGCTCACTGTGAGACTCTGCTCTGCTTTTCCAGGAAAGAAAAAAAAGTGAGGCTGCAGGGCGCGACACGTGACATTGGGAAGGGCTGAGCCAGGAATTTCCGCTCTGGGAAGCTGCAGGTGCGGGTGCGGGTCGATCACCTCTGCGCTGCGCTGCGCTGCGCTGCGCTGCCTGGCGCCGCCAAAGCCGTGCGTTGCTCGTGGAGGTTGCAGCAGACCCACAGCATCGGCGCGTGTTGCTCTTGTGGCTTTGCACCATCACCCCATCCGTCTAGTATATCGTCGCCATGTCCAACGCATCTCCATCCGTGACCGCGCCCATCTCGGGCCCACAGTCCGCACCCGTCGGCCAGCCTCCAGCGCCATCCGCCTCGCTCGTGGCCAAGTACCGCGGCGCTACGGTGGAGGACCTGCAGGTGCCACCTGCGATCTCGGTGCCGCGCTCGACCTCGATCGCATCGGCGCTGGGCGTGGCGCTCGACCACGACTACTCGCAGCTGCCGCTGGTGAGCGACAAGAACCGCAAGCTGCTCGGCTACGTCCAGAAGCACCGCCTCGAGGAACAGCTCAAAGAGGGCAATAGCGACAAGACGGTCGCCTCCATCATGACCAAGTTCTCCAGCGGCCCAGCGGCGTCTGCCTCCTCGTCGGCACCGGCAGCAACGTATACCGTCATCACGCCCGACACGGGGCTGGCCGAGCTCGAGGTATTTTTGCAGTCGCAACCGTTTGCATTCATCACTGATCCCGGTAGGGCTTTCGTGCTGGGTGTGGCTACGCAGGAGGATCTGTCCAAGTACGTCTCGCGTCGCGGCCTGGACGGTACACGATCGGGAGCTGCTACTCCCACCCAGACGACCGCATCCGCAGCAGCACCGCACGACAACGACGAGCCGATGCCGTCCACCTCGTCGTCGGCAGCTGCCGGTGCGGCGGCAGCAATAACCCAGGGTGCGACGCACACCATGTCGCGCAGGGAAGAGGAGGAGTCGAGAAAGGACCGCACGCTCGCCGAGTTCCTGCAGCTGCTCGATGGATACACCCCCTTGATACCCGACCAGGTCACCGACTTCTACCTGGAAAAGGTCGGATTCGAGTGCCACGATCTGCGTCTCAAGAGGCTGCTCTCGCTCGCCGCCGAGAAGTTTGTGAGCGACATTGCGGCGGATGCGTTCCAGTATGCGCGGATCCGCACCAATGCCGGGCCGGGTGGCAGGCCGCGTGGCCAGGTGGGTGGAGCCGGTGCAGCGGGCGCGGCAGGCGCAGCCGGCTCCAATGCGCAGGGCGCAAGGGACCGTTCCAGAACCGTGCTTACTATGGACGACCTCTCGGCTGCGCTGGGAGAGTACGGCATCAATGCGCGTCGTGCAGAGTACTTTCGCTAGATACCACACCGGTGCCGTGTCGCAATCACAAGGCATGCGGCACTGCTTTGCATTCGTTTGTGGAGTCTGAGTCCTTAGGCTGTGGTGGAGGAGGGGGAGGACCAGCCCATGATCCATTTGCGCACATTGCGTCGAGCGCGCATCTTGGCCTTGTCCATCCACGAAGGCTCGTTGGTGGCTGACTTGACCGTCCATCCTCCCAACCAGCCGCGTTTGACCACGAGTGTTTCGGCGGTGCTCTTGGTGTCGCCCTTGCCCTTGCCCTTACCCGCATCCTTGCCGGCACTCGCATGGGCTTTGGTCGGGAGCAGCTCGATCTTTGGTGCGGCCGGATCGAGCATGAGTCGGAAGCGCGTTCGAGACGGTGCAGCCGCCACTACCGTCGGAGGATCAGTGTACACCGTCAAGTTGAGCAGGTAGACCAGGATCATGGCCAGCCTGATAAATCAAGTAGAAAGACTGTCAGCATGGACATATGGGGTTCCGGAAGGAAGCAGACTTACACGAGGGGGACGACGCCGAGCAGGTATAGCAGTGTGGGGTCCTCTGCGTCTCGACGGAGGAGGTGGGCGAGATCTTGGAGCCCTTCGGTCTCGACGGAGGAAGGCGAGGAGTGGTTCCAGTCGCCGCCGAGGTAGAGTTGGACAGATGACCAGTCGCGCGCGCATCGCCAGGTGTAGTGGAAGGCGAGGCAGAGCTGGATGCATGTGAGATGAAGCATCACTCCGAATGCAAGCCGGTATCGAAGTCGAATGCATACGAGCCTATCGACCGTGAAGGAAATTGGTCGGTCAGATCCAAGAGACTTCTTTGACGCAGGCTGGATGTGCTTACAAAATGGTCAGGACGGACAGGGTGACCACCTGCGTGCCGCTAGCGACGAGTGGCAGCAGCGTCAGATCGCGTCCCAGCGTGCTTGTCTCGCACGTCCATCCCGCATCCGCCGCCACAGCGGCCAACCTTGTCTGATCCAACCACGCCGTCAAATCTAATCCGCACATAGTGACCTGCGATCAGCACCATTTTCACTGCCACTCGGGGGGTTTGGACTTACAAGACGCGAGGTCGCACGTTGCGATTACCACCATGATGAGTGCGATTAAATTGAGCAGTCGAGCGACATATGCCGTGTATCGGATCCACCTTTTGGCTGCTGGGTCGATGCGTTTGGCGAGCAGACCAAACACCTGGTGGCTCGTCTCGGTCAGCATCATGGGTGCGCACCCCACCGATCCGTTCGCCGCCACAAGCTCGGCAAGCCCCTCACGCGTCTGCACCAGCGATGCGGACGCGTGCGACCGGTTCGAAATGTCTGCTCGTAGTGCGGCCCAGATGTCGAGGCAGAGAACGAAGCACAGCGTCGGCACAAAGATGACCAGGATGCGAGTCATGCGTCGCCCCTGGTACACGCGCAGTCCACCGATCACGAGGAAAGTCAGCAGCATGAAGAACAGCACCATCGTCCTATCGTACCACGGTCAAAGTGGGGCAGAGGTGTAAGTAGCGCAGCGAGCAAAAGATGATAAGGCTGCCAGACACTCACGGAGCCAGATCGTCATCGCGAAGCGCAACACCTCCGACCAAGGCTGAGATCCAGGCGAACGAAGTTTCGCACGACCGTTGCGCCAAAAAGTCAGCAGGCGGCGGTGAGCGCATTCCGTCCGTGATCTATGTCTATGAATGCACGAGATAGCGCCGGGTCTGTGGTGTAAGCCAATGGTGTTGGTGGTCGCTGAAGCCCAACATTGACTCGACGGATGCGTGCATTGTGTTGCTCTCTAGCGAGTAGAAGCTGCGCACACATCGCGAAGGTTAAGCTCAGAAGAATGGTTCGCGTGTAGTGTTCGATTGATACAGGCGTGACGCAAGCTTGTCGATTGCAGAAGGTTTGTGTGAAGTGATCCGTGAAGACACGGAGCGAGGATGGCGAACGTTCCACGTTGTTAGACCGCGGTTGTTTTTGCATTAAATATTCGTGCACCACGTGACTCACACTGCGAGGGCAGAGGAAAATTGAGGAGGAAGAAGCGGCGCCTTTGAGCAGCTTCACAGCCCAAAGCGCACTTCCGCTCGCATGCTGAAGCCATGCGCTCGCCAATCACCCCAAAGTGCCTTTCCACACGACCGCAACGTCTCCCGACCATTCCACGCTAGTCAGACCACCGCACGAGGCCGCGAAATATCTTCAGTCAACTAGATCGTATCCAGGCGCACACCATCCAGTCGAGGCGCATTCCCAACCCCCACCGATCTCGTAGGCGCCCGGCTGATCTTGACCACTCCGCCGCCACCAGGACAGCGCGCACACACACACGCATTCATATACAATGTCGGCACTAGCAAGGCTCTCCGGTGAGCCTACTGCCGAGGCAGTGCTCGCCGCGTTGGACGCCGCACCCAACGGCAAGATCGCCGACACCCGTCTGATCGCGCCCGAGGTCTCGACCACCGCCGCCGATGCGCACACCGACCCGGCCAAGCGCTCCGAGGCGAACGAGGCGGTGTTCAAGGAGCGCGCACGATGGCAGCTCGCGCTCTCGGACGTGCTCAAGTCGCTGCTCAGCAAGGAGATGCTCGTGATGGACAAGCTCGAGGAGTCCACCTCGGCGCCGCTCCCCGAAGGCTTTGTGCTCCTCCAGAACGGCTCGCCCGAGATCCGCCTCGTCAAGGCGCTCCCCAACGAAGCGGGCGCGGGCAAGTCGATCGACGAGCTCAAGCAGCTGCTCGGCGCCGACACGCTCAAGAACGGCCAGAGCAACGCCTTCCGCAACAAGTGGGCCAAGAAGCTCCCCGACGGCACCTTTGGCCGCACCGACGCCACGCTCGGCAAGTCGGACGCAGAGCTCACCGACGACATCCAGCAGCAGCTCGCCGAGATCCTCGCCACAGGCACCCTCGCTGCCCCGGCCGCCGACAAGAAGCTCGCCGAGCTCCGCAAGCGCAAGCTCGTCGCGACGCGCAAGCTCGTCTACTTTTCCATCGCCAAGGGCGCCCAGTTCTCGCTCACCGTGCAGAAGCTCGAGACGGACCTCACGTTCGAGATGCTCCAGTCCGGGTCGTGGAAGACGGCGCCCTTCAAAAAGTACAACTTTGACGCCGAGGGGGCGGTGCCGGCGTCCGGTGCGCTGCATCCGCTGCTCAAGGTGCGCGAGGAGTTCCGCAACATCTTCTTCGAGATGGGCTTCACCGAGATGGCCACCGACCGCTTTGTCGAGTCCTCCTTCTGGTGCTTCGACTCGCTCTTTGTGCCGCAGCAGCATCCGGCGCGCGACGTGCAGGATACCTTCTTCATCAAGGACCCGCCGTACGCAAAGCACATCCCCGAGGACTACCTCAAGCGCGTCACCCAGGTGCATCAGGAGGGCGGCTTTGGCTCCGTCGGATACCGCTATCCCTTTGACCGTAGGGTGACCGAGAAGCTCGTGCTGCGCACCCACACCACGGCGGTGAGTTCGGCCATGCTGTACAAGCTCGCCAACCAGCCCGGTGGATTCAAGCCCGCCAAGCTCTTCTCCATCGACCGCGTCTTCCGCAACGAGGCGGTCGACGCTACGCATCTCGCCGAGTTCCACCAGGTCGAGGGCGTCGTGGCCGACTACGGCATCACCCTCGGCGACCTAATCGGCTTCATGGAGGTCTTTTTCAAAAAGATGGGCGTCACCAACCTCAGGTTCAAGCCGGCCTACAATCCCTATACCGAACCCTCGCTCGAGATCTTCTCCTTCCACCAGGGCCTCAACAAGTGGGTCGAGGTGGGCAACTCGGGTATGTTCAGGCCCGAGATGTTGAGGCCAATGGGGCTGCCCGAGGGCGTCAACGTGCTCGGTTGGGGTCTCAGTCTCGAACGCCCCACCATGATCCGATATGCGGTCAAGGATATCCGTGAACTCGTCGGTCACAAGGTGCCCATCAGCTCGGTTGAAAATGCACCCGCTACGAGGTTCTAGACTGCAGCACTCTCGCTCGTTCAGAAATACCAACCCGTGTCATCCATCTTTGCTGCGCTTCGGATCGAAGATGTGTGTGTGTGTTTGTGGCGGGGTGGGTCTATTTGTTGAGGTCCGATTGGAACATGGACAGCACGAGCGGGTCCATTTGGGCCAGAGCCGTCGCAACTGCTGGGACGGATGCATGGGCATGCGCAAGCACGCCGGCCACATGCTTGTTGACCTGAGCCGTGAGCGTTCCATCGGCAAGGGCTGTTCTCTGCGCCCTTGCTGCTCCCGGTGAAACGTCCTGGATCCATGCGTCGTCATCGTCGTCGAAAAACACATCGGCGAGCTCCATGGATGCAATCGGCGAAGTAGGGCGGCGGTACTTGCTTGTGGCGAGTGGTTTGGACTCGGCCAGTTCGGCAAGAATCTCGCTCCACACCCCGATCATCTCGGGCACGCATGCAATCACCTCCTGAACGCCAGCGTCGGGGTTCTGCTCGTACGCCACCACGGCCGATTCGAGCATCGATGCGAGCCCGAGCGCTGTCACGCGCCGCTTGCGTGCAGACGCCATGTTGTCAAACCGCTCGCACACGAGCTTCAGCAGTGGTCGCCACACTGCTGCGGGAGTGGCGAATTGACGATGGTCCATCTCGCGCCACGCTGCATCGACAAGACGGACAAACGTGGCGTCGGGACAGTGGAACGCGATGCGACACAGCAGCGCCACAAAGTGCGTGGCAATCAGCGTAGCGTCTGCAAAGTGCAGCAGTGCGCCCACGATCGCTGCGACCAGCCGCGTGGACTCGAGCGCGTCGATCCATGCACCGCACACATGGTTCCAGTTGGGCAGTCCGACGAGCGCCTGAACGAGCGTATCGAGCGCCGAGATGGGCGCCAGCACCATGGGGTTGGACGGGTCCGCAATGATGCCGCCCATCGCCTGGAGCAGGTCGGCGCCGTACGTCTGGAGCAGCTCGAGCGGATTGAGCATGGCCATCTCCTCGACCACGCGGCACATTTCGACGCAGTAGTCCGGCTGCACCACCAGCACCTTTGCGAGCGCCATGAGTTCGAACAGCGGCTGCGTCATGACGGGCGTGGAGTGCAGTGCGCGGATCCACACCATACCGATGGCATCCTTGGCGAGCAAATGCGATACGCTCGGCTGCAACGACTCGCGAACGATGGGCGCGACCATGAGATGCACCTTTTGCATGAGCGCACCGCTGGTCCCCTCGGCGGGAAGCATCTCGATGGCACGCAGCACTTTGGAGACAAACACGATGATCGACGGACGCGCCTTGCAGTCCGGATCGTCCTGCTGCCACAGCATGGGCACGAGGTCGACGAGCGCATCGGCGTGCGGCGCAATGCGTGCGCCCATGCGCTCGATCAGGATGGCGAGTGCATCCGTGCACACCTTGATCGACTCCATCTCGTGCAGGTCCGACGCGGCGGCTAGCGTGGCGAGGTTGCGCAGCGCTTTGGGCAGCAGCGGTTCAAAGCCGTCGGCGTCAAACTCGAGCGCGTCGGCGATGGCGGCGATCGAACGCGCGGCCGCAAGACGCACCGCTACGTCCGTCTGTTGCGGCACATCCTCGAGCAGCTCGACGAGCAGCGCGTAGACGTCCAGACGCGACTCGCGCGGCACCTGCTCGGACCACTCCCACAGAAGCCATGCGATCCTGCGCCTGACAACCACCCAGGATGCCGACGCCACACTGCCCACGCGTGCCTCGGGGACCAGCTTGGCGGCAATCGCCTGGCCCATGAGCACGTCCATGCTCGGACGGTCGTCGTCCTCGCCTGCGGGGGAGAGATGATCGCGACACCGCCCGACGGCTGCATAGATCGCATCGCGTGCCAGGACGTCGTCTAAACGGTCAGGCGACAGACTTTCGGACGCTTCGAACAGCTGCCACAGATGCTGCCCCACCCAGCCGACGGGTTTTGTATGCTGCGCCAGCACCATGAGCGCGCGCTCGGCGGCGGGACGGATGTCGAGCTCGTAGTTCTCCTGCTCCTCGCCCACCGCCCACTCCTCGGGGTCGGCGCGCCATCGCTCGAGATCGTCGGCATTGAGGCGCATGAGCCTGCGCGCGAGCACGTCGGCGGCCTCGCGGGCAAAGTCGTGCGTGAGGAAGAAGCCGCCCTCGGGCCGATTGCCCTTCCACTGTGCGAGCGAGTGCTTGAGCAGCACGAGCGCCTGCACCACAAAGCGTGGCGGATAGTCGATGGCGGCGGCGTGGTTGGCATAGTCGTCGCGCGGCACCGAGAGGCTGTGGTCGTTGACGTCCTTGGCCTGCGTCCAGTACCAGCCGACGACGTCGGCCCAGCCGTGCCAAAATGCGGCCTTGCCATTGTCGCGCTGGATGAGCGAGAGGAAGAACTTGCCGAATGCATAGAGGTGTTTTGTGAGCGCGGTGACGAGGGCGGCCGAGGTGGTGGCCGAGGTGTGCTGCGCGGCGTGCGGAGAGCGGAGGAGGCGCAGATAGGCCAGACGCGTGTCCTTGAGCGTCTGCAGAGCGCGCGGGGTGGAGCGAAAGAAGGCCTGGGCCATGTTGGCGGATGCGCCGCCCTGAGAGGTGGTGGAGCGCGAGATCATGCCGATGTCGGCGACGGCCAGACGGCTGATGGCCTTGAGCAGCAGATGGCTGGTGCGCACGTGTTCTGGACGCAGCACCGTGTTTGACCATGCTGCAAGCGTGCCGAGATCGTCGTTGGCCGAGAGCGAAAAGACCTCGGTGAAGTACTGCTCGAAGATCGGGTGGAGGACGGGGAGGAGCTCGCGCGAGAGTTCGGTCATGCGCATCTTGCCGGCGAGCACGCGCACGGAGTCGAGCTCCTTGAGCGCCTTTGAGCAGACGTCTGCTGCGCGCATGAGCACGGTGGTGTTGAGCTGGCGCGCCTGTGCTGTTGCCTCGTCTTGGGGCTGGCCAATCTGCGGCGATGGAGGCAGGGCAGCGAGGGCGGCGTGTGCGTCGACCATGGCTTGCTGGAGGGTGGTGAAGAGATCGGGCCAGTCGCGCGGATAGTCGAGGCGAGCGATGCGGGAGATGGAGACGGAAGCCTGCAGTGCGATGGTACGGTTGGGCTCGCGGAGGCAGTGGAAGAGGAGCGACCGAATCGCTTGTTTCGACTCGGGTGGGATGGTGACGGCGACGCGCGCGACGACACGGCTGCGCCAGAACTTGTCGATGCCATTCTTGAAGCGGATGATGGCCTGTATGCGAATCGCATCTCGTTGCTCGTGTCCTGAGGCCGTGGATGAGGAAGTGGGCAGACTGAGCTGCGTGTCAAAGGCGATCTGGAGGAGGACGAGCCAAAAGTCGGGCAGCTTCTCCCACTCGTCGAGCTGCGAGTTGGCCTGTTTGAGGACGGCGGGATCCGTGGAGGAGGCGAGCGCCAGCACCTCGATGAGCGCCGCCTTTGGATCGGACATGGTGCGGTAGCTGGATTGGATCGACCGAGACCGGCGTGAGGTGGGAGGGAGAGAAAGAACAACACTTTTTGTTGGAGCCGCCAAGAAGAGCGAGGCGCTGCTGCTGCAACCTAACAATTGTCAGGAAAAACAGCCCGGCCTCCACTTCTTTTTTGGGGGGTCCGAGCGGAGGAGCCGACCAAAAAAAAAAAAAA